GGATCCCCAGCACTGCAAAATAAATAAATAAATAAATAAATAAATAAATAAATAAATAAAAATAAATAGAAGAAGAAGAAATTGTTGTTGTTAAAAGGGTAAAATTTATGCTATGTATAATAAATTTGTATTTCAGATAGAATAGTTTTTCGTATACGTGTGCTCGATGAAAGACCTGATATGGGGTATGGGGGACCCCCATCCTGTTCACATGTCTGCCTAAAGATTTCAGAGGACAGACCGGCTGACCGGCTGGTGTCCCTCATGTGTCCTGTCACAAGACTCTTAAGCTACAGATCTGCTTTGAAATGATGAGCACCCCCATGGGAGTAACTAGTCTAAGAATAAATACTTTACCCAAGCTCCGCTTTTCCTCCAGATAAATATCACAGCAGTGACCTGAATTGTAAGAGGAATGAAAGAAAAAGAACAATATCGCACTTTTTCTGAGCCATGTATGTGTCAGGAGGCAGATTCAAGGACTTTTGAGAAAGACCCCTACACTCTGAGATGGATCTTCAGCGTGACACTGGTGGGTTCCGGTCTGGATTTTTCTTCACTCCAAGCTATCATGGGGCAGTGGGTCCCAGCATCCCCTCCCAAGAAGTCTTTGTTGAAATATCAAATGAATAGGTATCTTAGTTACTTTCTCGTTGCTGAGACACAGTACTCAACACCCACAACTGTAAGGAGGGGGATGTTACTGTGGCTCACAGTTTGTGGAGGTTTCAGTCCATAGTCAGTTGGCTCCATGGCAGGGTGGCAGGCACAGGAGAATACCTCGTGGCATGGTGGTGGGAAGCAGAGAGATGGAGGGAGGAGCAGGAGGTATGTGCACCCTTCCAGGCCCTGCCCCGGTGACCACCTCCTCTGACCAGGCTCTGCCTCTCAAGTCACACTTAGCTATAAACTCGCCAGTGGGCTAATCCACTGCTGAGCATCACACCCCAGAATTCAATCAGCTATGAGCACAGGAGGCTTTGGGGGGACATCAAGATATAAACCCTGATGGTAGGGATGACCACCTCTTTTGAAAACAGAAACTAGGAAGTGATTCTCGGAGAAGCCTGTCACGGAACTGGGCCACTCACAGACCCTGAGATATCTCTGTTTAAGGAGAAGGTGTGGCAGTCCCATGGGGAGACTCACTTGCCTGACTTCGAGCTGATGTTCTCTGTCCCTAACTTGAGCTCTGAATGTGCTTGTCATTCAGGAGAATGCTCAGAAACCTTCTGCTTTTCTTACAGATGGCGCAGGCTGAGTGGGTGTGCAGTGGTTTGCTGCTAGTTCATCTAATGCAATGTAGGTTATATTGCTGTTTTCAGTTTAATAAGGCAGACAAATCAGAATTGACACATTAAAAATTCCAAGCATTTGTTTACACCAACTGGAGTCAAGATATTTATTAGAACGATTTATTCACATTAGTATTTTTTATTAAAGGCATTTATCTCTGCCCCAACAGCTGTCCCCAGGTCCCCAGCTTTTTATGACTAGTCCATGCCAGGCTGCACATGAATTTTCTGTCCTGAGAGCTCCACAGTGGAGGTTCCCCTCCCCAGGAGTATATTTTATTTCACTCATTCACCTGCTGTGCTTTGGGTGGGTGGCTAAGGCAGGTTTCAGCTGCTGGCATTGGCAATCCCCATGGTGGGTACTTACTGGGGGGGGAGGGACCCTGGCCAGCATCTAATTTTGAGATGTGGCTGGTTACTGTATCTGGGGGAGGGCACAAGAAGATTTAAATAACATCTTCGTTTAAGATTTGGGGAGTCCCTAGCCCACGTGGGCCTCAATCTGTGTGAATTTCAGATGCTACCAGCCCCCCGTTCCCATCCCCCGAAATGAAAATCAGAGCACCAGATGGGCTCTCCGGAGGAGAAACCTCACAAGCCCACCCTCCTGCCTCTTGAAATCCATCCTGGCTGTTTATCATGAGATGCAGTTGTCATGGTGATAAGCAGAGCCCCCTGGGGAGGGAGTCAAGGTTGGAGGATAGAGTCATACCTAAGGCAACCTTGTGTCACTCACAGACACCCTATAGTGTGGTCCCACACCCAGGAGTCTCGTGGGCTGGGCATGGGGGTGCTGATGTCCAGCCAGTGACCCTTGGTTGAGCCAGGAGCCCTGATCTGAAGTTGCACAAAGGCACTATTGACTCCACTGGCCCTAACTCCATGGGAGCCCAGCTTCCTGTTGCCTTCCCACGCCTTTATCTGGTGCAAAGTCTGTGGCCCTCCCTCTGCCTAAAGTATTAGACCCCACCCCCAGCTGTAACATTTGCAGAATGGGTGTTGATAACTTTGGTTTCACTGGTTGGTTGGTAGATTTGGGGGTTTTCTTGGAGATGAGCAGTGCTCCCAGTAAGGCAGAGCAAGGCTTCAGGAGATGAAGTCCATGTGGGCAACTCGCTCTGTTGGAAAGTTCCAGATAAGAGGGTAAATACCGACATCCTCTGAGTACCCTGAGAAAAGCAAGAGTGTACCACAGAGCTAGCTGGGCCATGCCCCCAGTTAGACTTCTGCTGAAGGAGGTGTGAAGCTCCTTGGGGTGAAGCTGCCCAGTGGCATCCTTTGGGAGCTTTGGCCTGGGGTACTTTGAGGTGGGGGGAACCCTTGGAGAGAGTGGTCCTCAGGCAGGTCATCCCCAAAGGAAGGGGCTCTGTCCATCTGGCCTGGCTAACACGATGTGTGTTTCAGTGGAGGTTCCACTTGCACACAGCCCTCCTACAGATGATGGTGGGTTCTCTTCCTGGGACGGGGGCTTTGAAGGGCACAGGAGGTTCCCAGCAGCCCCAGACAAGCTGGAGCCCAGCCTTAGGCTATACCAGGACAGCACGGCAAGGGCAGCGCCCACCTGTGTGGTCCGGCTGGGCCATCCCCCATGAGTTTGTGTTGAAATTTAACCCTCTCTGTGTGATATTAAGAGGGTGGAAACTTAATCTAACCATAGTGTTCACAAGTGTCTCAGATTAAATAAACTCATCAGGGTGGAGCCTCCACAAATGGATACCAGTGGCTTTAGAAGAAGAGGCAGAGTGCCCAAAGAGACACACAAGCCTGCTCTTTGCGATGCCCTGCACTGTCTTAAAACTGCCAGCAAGAAGGCTATGGCCCCATGCAGGCTCTTTCACCTGCAGATCTTTGATCCAAAGTAAACCTCTTGTCTTTAAAACTTCCCAGTCTGTGATAGTGTGCTGTCAGCAACAGGAAGAGACTCCTACAGGTTCCTAGCAGAGGGATGGAGGAGGCAGGAGGAAGCAGACAACCGACCTCCTTGGGTCAGCTGTGTCCCTGATACCCTTCAGTTTCAGGAAGGGTAGGATGTGGGAGGGTCACCCCCTTCTGCTCCCCTGTCCTTAAAGGCCGGCCCCACTTCCCTTTCTGAGCCACCCTCTTCCACTCCACTCCCTCTGAAACCCAGTGGTGCCTGTGGTCATGGAGGGGACACTTAGTTCGGAATCCTTCTGCCTGCTTGGTATGTGACATGTCTGTTCCCATCGGTACCAGAAAGGTGGGCTCAGTTCTTTAACTTTTCTCTAAACCACAAGAGGGATGGAATTCCATCAAGGAACATGACAGCAGTCTAGGATGGGGTGCATTTTGCTGTGTCCTGTCAGCACTGTGAGAAGCTGGCAGATAGCTACAATGCTGGAAGGCTCAGTTTTCTCGCCTCCAGAGCAAGAGTGGAAATAGCCATCTCCTAGGTGAAAGGCTCTTATACACCCTAAAGCACCATGTAACTTAGTATCACTGTGTCACTGTTGCTGTCATCGTATTAAGACTGCTTGCTAGTTTATTTCCAGACATCCTGGGACTGGGGCAGTGGTATGGATCTTGCTTCTATCCTCTGGGTGGTATAAGGAATTACAGAGTGAAAATGTACTCAGGCCTTAGATTTTGTTAATTGAAGGAAAGAAAATTATGGTTTAGGCTGGGGATTTAGCTCAGTGGCACCCCTCCTCTCTTGAAAGTGCAAGGTCCTGAGTTCGATCCCTGGTACGCTCACATACACACACACACACACACACACACACACAAATTATGGTTTGATATCTTTTTTGAAGAGAAGACTTATAACATGTTACCTGGGACATTTTATTTCTGTAATAGTCGACTGACTAATTTGCATTTATTCTCATCCAAAACATTAGGGGTTTAAAAAATATTATTTGAACCCTTGGAACTGTTGCTAGGAATGTACAGTGGGAAATTGCATGGAGTATCCTCAGAAAATTAAAAATACATTTATGACATGATTTGGTGATTCTGCTTGTGAGTATGTATCCAAAAGAATTGAAAGCAACATCTCAAAAAATATTTTTGTACACCAGTGTTCATAGCAATATTATTTGTGATATCCAAGAGGTGTCCATCAGTGGATGAATGGATAAACAAAATGTGGTGCATACATGTGGTGAAACACTATTCAGCCTTAACAAGGAAGAAAATTCTGGTGCTTGTTATAACAAGGATGAGTCTTGGAGACATTATGCAAAATGAAATAGGCCAGTCCCAAAAGGATAAATCCTATGTGATTCTACTTCTACGTACTCAGAGTAGTCAAATCATAGAGCCAGAGAGTGGTGGTTGCTAGAGATGGGTGAAGAGGGAAGTGTGGCATTGTTTCATGGGTACAGAGTCTCAACTTTGTAAGGCAAAAGGCGTGGTGGTGATAGTCACACAGCAATGGTAATGCGCGTTATGCCATTTGACGGTGCCCTTGAAAATGGTTCAAGTAGTGAATTTTATGTTACATGTACATGTACTTTATTATAACTAAAGATAATAATAAATAATAAAATTTAAAAGTGATTTAGAAACAGTCTTGGAGTACAATATTAACTGCATAACAATTTGATTAAATATATATGCACGAATACAGACACACATGCATTGCATGCATGTTATAAATTGAATCCCATCAAATGTTTAGGTTTTGTATCCTTGACTCACTTCTCTAATATACAAAAACACAATCTTTAACTTCTTGTTTTCCAGGTTTGCAATGGCTTGGAGCAGCCCAGGAAGCAGCAGCGTTCAGATCTTAATGGACCCATTGACAATAACAACATCTCCGAGGTAATTTTTTCCAAGGATGCAAGTTCTAGGCCAGGTCCCTCTTGAGGGAGTTGCCTGCTCCTGTGTGGTCAGACCACTCTCCACAAAGTTCATATCCCACCCAGTACCTGGAGAGATGGAGTCCAGGGCAGGTGGACTTGGGCATCACTGTTGGAGGAGGGGAAGGTTCCCTGGCCTGGGAGGAAGGAGGTACAGGCCTATCCTTGTGATTCACAGCCACACTGTGGTGTGTTTGTGTGCTATTGATGGTGCACATGTGTGGGAGGGGTCATCGGTCTCCTTGATTGGGCAGAAAATTCTCTGCACCACTGTTCCGTAACGGTGTTGTAACCTGAATTTCTCAACAATGGCACCATTAATGTTTAGGGTTAGATAATTGTTTGGAGGGCTATCCTGGGGACTGTGGAATATTTTATTATCATCCTTGCCCTTTGGCCCCTAGAGTCTACCCTTAGTTATAACAACCAGAAATGTCTCCAGACATTGACAAATGTCCCCTTTGGGACAAAAATCATCCCAGTTGATAACTACTGTCCTAAACCAACAACATGGTTTTAACAAACAATTCCATATAAATTAGCACTGCTGTGATGGAGATTATTAAAGTGAAGATGGAAGCATGCATTCTCACCTCTAAAATAGGAGTGTAAATATCCTCTTTCTGGGTAACATGTTTTAGATAACATAGTCCAGCTTTAATGAAATAACTATGGCTTTAAAAGACAAGCCCAGGAAGTTCTCAAGTTGGAGAACCATTTGGTCGAATGGTCTCTGGGTACCTTTCTAGCCATGACTTTAATAACCTGAGGGTGACTGAGGTGTAGTCGGTGGGCTTTTGGGCCCTTCCGAAGCATCTTGCTGCCTGCGTGAGACTGGCTAGGTATATGTTCTTGGGAACACCAGCCAGTCATAGATTTAGGCTTTTACCATGATGGTCCACATCTTAGCGTAGTTCTTATGGGCCACCTGTTGCAACTAGTGTTTCACTTTTTCCTATTTCCTAACAGACAAAGAAGGTGGCATCATTTCCAAGTTTTGTGGCTGGTAAGTGACTGAATTTTCTCTCTTAGGGGCAGTTGCGTTGTATGCCAAGCCAAATGGTGCCTTTATTAGTGATTTTCTCCTAAAGAGCTTGTTCAGAAGCATGCTTTCCAGCAAGGTGCTTGGGCATTTGGTTTTCTAAGTGGTGCATAAGCCCACTGAGAGGGGAGGGAAGGTCCAGCCTATTTGCCTGCTCTGATGCAAGGAGTAGAAGACCATTCATTTAATTACACCCTTGCTAATTGCTTCACAGATGACACTGATGCCTGCATTAATAGATTGAAATGTGTCTGCATAAGCAGCTAATTATGATCTAATGCTTTTGATCAGGGTGGGTATAATGGCATCCGAATTCAGGCTGTCGCTGTTTTTTTTTTTTAGACCCTTTACCCTCCCATCTTTTTGGAGGAGGTTAACACTGCATAAAACAGACTGCTCTGTGCTGTGTTACTTTTGGGTGTGTGGGGCTCACCTGCTTGGATGCTCACAGAGCTGACATTGTGTGGTCTGCAGGGCCGCTGTAGGTGCCCCTGTGGGTTGCTTCCAGCGGTCCAACATCACAGCAAAGAGCCTGTTAAGTGAGCTCTTTCTCTGTGCCAGGAGGATGCCTCTTCCTGGCCCTGCTAATGTGTTATAATAAACAATGTGAATTATATTAATTCTTTCAATAAGCTGGTAATTAATTCTTATGAATATTTATGGGAACAAAGTAAGTCGGCCTTCAAAAATAAATGACTTTAAACCTTTCCCACTCTGCTTTTCATTTTTAGTGAAGAATGCAAGCCAGGGAAACTATAACTTCCAAATTCCCTTGTAAGGGATTAGTTTTCAACCAGGCTCAACCAGTTCCAATTGGTTCAAAATGAAGCAACTGGTTCAAACCAATTTTTACTGTTCTAACTGGTCCGATGTTGCTCAAATCAGGTAAAAATTGGTTTTGGATTCTCAGAATGAATACTTACAATCCAAACAAACTTGATTCCATTTTGACAATGCAGATAGGGTCATTGGGTTTTACCTGGCAGTTTACATGTGGGTTTGAGGTATATTTTTGCTGGTTCAGACATCAGATTATGATGACTCTAGCTCAACTGACTCGTAGTTTCCCAGGACCTCATGACTGGCAGGAAGAAACCACATACTCCCATGTTGCTTACGGCAGGGTATGGTTGGGTTCCTGATCCATAGGAGAGCATTTCCTAAGCAGTGCACCTCCCACCTTTTTCTGCAGAGGTCCGGAGCCAGGGTGGTTTGTAACAGTCACACTGCTCCAGTGAGACAAGGTCTCGTGAACCTAAGAAGGTCACTTGTCATGGAATCATGGAATCATATAGAAAGAACCCTTCATACTGTGTGGGGAGGGAGTGATTTGGACATAAAACTCTCCAGGCTCTTAAGCAAATCTCATATCTGCAAGAGAGGAGGTAGAGAGGAATATGAAAACAGCACCAGTCTCTGAAATGCTTCTGTCTCTTCCTTCTAACATCCCAGAAGATCCACTTCTCTGAACCACTTTAGACTGTTCCAAACCAGATGGAGACAAGACTGGGAGCCTGAAACCAATTCAGAGTTGTTCCTATAGAAGAGAAATCCTTTGACTGTTCTGAAATACAGAGGCCTTCAGCAAAAGCACATCCCTTTATATTAGATAATTTATATTCAGTGAAGCCTCCATTGACCAAAATCCTATTCAGCAATAGGAAGAGATCACCATAAGGATCACAAAAATCCCTAGAGTATAACGAATATGAAAGAACCATACGTTTATCAGTGAGGTATGCATTTGGGTACAAGCATCTAAATAGCCTCCTAACATTATTAGCATGTATCCATATGGTAGTACATGCCTAACATAAAGAGGTCTAGAGGTGAGTGGCTACTCATTCAATGGCTCTGTGATGTCAGGGTCACCATGTTTGCTTCTATTGACCTCATTCTCAGGCTTGTCACCTCATTGTCAAATAATATCTGAATAGCTCCATCCATCACTTCCTGTTCCACGTAGGAAGAGGAGAGGATGTTAAAGGTCTAAGCCAGATGTGTTGTCTCTCCATTTATACCAAGAAAGTGAAGCTTTTCTGTAAATGGACTAAGTGAATCATTTGCACGAGCCCTTCCGCTAACTGTTCTGTCCTGTCCCCAGGTAAGCTGAGAGGTAGTATGTCAACTATGTCACCACCCAGCACCGTTTAGGATGCAGACGACTTTGACTGGTGGACTGTGACTGGATGAGAAAATCATAACCCTTGGGTGTGACAGAGCTTTGGGTAACTTAGGGCGTGTCCCTTGGAGGGGGCCTGAAAGCTACACCCAGAGAGAGCCCATAAGAGATGCATTGGTTCCTGGGAACACAAAGCTCTGAAACTATTTGTAGTGAGTGTTTTGTACGCTCACAGCTGAGCCATCCAGGGATCCAGGGAGACTAGCTGAGTGGACACTTCACGGGCTTCTGCATGGGTTCCCATGGAAAAGACCAGTGGCCAACTGGCTTCAGCCTCATTCCTGCTGACTAAATGGCCCCATATCTAGCAGTCCTAAGGAATTTGGTTGGGTACTAAAAGACCTTGGCGACCTCTCCCACACACTTCTCCTTTCCCCTTATGGGCCCAAGCTGCGTCACATGACCACCCCTGAACTGCAGTGTTGACTGGAGAATTGAGTATTTGCCTTTCTGTGGAGGCAGGAAGAAGGTCGAGATTGAGTATGGAGGACTGAGCCCTCGGTGTGCACTGCAGCACCCAGCTAGCAGGGGGCATGTTACCTTCCAGGAGCCGCTCAGCGCTGTGTCTGAGCATCAGAAGAACTGAGAAAAGCCCAGGAGGCCGTAGCGGAGAAGAGACTTTCCACCTCATCCGTGTCTGAGCAGTCACCCTGGAGGGCAGCTTTCCTGGGGTATTAGGGAGGGACGGCCTATGCCCTCAAGCTCCTGCCTCATTTCAGATCAGTTAGGATAAGAAAAGCCACAGCAACAATTAAAATGATAGCATCTCTGTCTTGCCATGTATCAGGGCTTAGTGTGTGCTGGACCCTGTACTGTCTACTGTGTGTCTAGATCTAGTCACTGATCAACCACCACTTGAGGACAGGGTGCTTTCTGTCCATTTTATAGGGTAGAAACTGTTAGTCAGGTTCCCATGCTTTGATAAAATACCTGAGAAAAACAACCGAAAGGAGGAAAGACTTATCTTAGCTCATGGTTTCAAAGGTTTCAGTGCATGGTCAGCTGGCTCTTGCCTGTAGCTAGGTAGAAACATCATGGTGGAAGGTTGTGGCCGAGGAAATCTGCTCACCTCAAGGCAGCCAGGAAGCAGAGAGAGGAAAAGGGAGAGGGGGAGGGAAAGGGGAGATGGAGGGGGAGGGGGAGGAAGAGAGAGGGGGCCAGGGACTAGATACAGTCCCAAGGGTCCCTTCCCCGTGACCCAGTCCCCTCATCCAGGCCCCATGTCCTAACTGTCCATCAAATTATGAACCCAGCAATGGATGAATCCACTGATAAAGGCAGAGCCCTCGAGATTCAGTCACCTCCCAGAAGCCCCACCTCTGAACACAGGAGCTTTGGGGAACACTCTAGATCCGAACTCTGATATTGTGGCACAGTGTGGTAAAGTAACTTATCTGATGTCCCATAGCAGATGAAGGTGAGGGCCTAGAATTGGACCTGGGTCTGGGTACTTGACATTAGCCTTTCGCTGAGGTGACCGAGCCTCCCAGCAGTGAAGACATCTGCTGGTAGAGCACGTGGTTAGCATGTGTGAGGCCCGGGTTCAATCTCCAACAACAATAATAAGAATGATAGGTAAATCCTATCAAATGTTGGGGGCCAGGCATGATTTCAGTGTTTTATCTATTTTAACTCATTGATTACTCTAGTGACAGTAAGAGCCAGGCACTGTTACAGATGAGGAAACTGAGGCTCAGCAACGGTGAGTTGTTGGCTTGTGATCACCAGGTGGTGAGTGGCAGAGCAGGATTGGAACCCCAGCTGGAGTCTCAGCTCCTCACCCGACACTGCATGGCCTGAGCACCCCAGCCTGCAGTGAGCCACAGGGGAGATAACCCCCCTCAGTTCCCAGAGTTGGAGGAGAGCCGTCATGCGTCAGAGTCCTGGTCCCTCCTGCCCAGAGGCACAGCCTTCTCTTACCAGAGGCATCTGCAGCAAGAGCTCTCCACAATCGCTGTTTGTGGGATACGCTCGGTGCCTGGCAGCCTTCCAAGACCAGGAAGGCTCATGCTGCAGAGGAAGCCTCCTTGTGAAAGTGCTCATTGCACATGGGAGTTACAGCCTCACCATGAGGAGGAATCCTGAAGAAGGGAGGGATGACAGCAGCTTTAGCACATCCCTGCTGTGAGCGATTGTGGCTGGGGCAGCATCGGTCTAAGGAGGCAGAGAGCTGCCGCCCTGAATAAGTATATGTGAAAGTCTCTGAAGTTAGACTCCTGCTTGTCAAAAGTCCTGGTTATAAAAAGAAAGAAGCCAGTACTGGTCCGACTTTGTTCCTAATGGGACCCAACAGTGGCAGCTTTAGTACAAAATAGCAAAGACCAATAGCTCATATTCTGTTTTTCCCACTTTGTGCTCCTCCCAATCTAACATCCAAAATTCATGGGAGATATTCTGGTCCCACCACCCTGTTCACACCTCTAGGCTTGTGTCAGCAGGGTGCTGGCCTCAAGCATCGGGCCCTGGGGTCCTCAATCTGTAGTGTGTTGACTTCCCATGCTGTATGCCGCCACGTGGAAGAATAGGGACCCCAGTCCCTGGGACTTCTGGGCCTGGGGCTGAGCTTGCTCCTCACCCCTTCCTTCTCTCAGGGTCCTCACAGGGATGAAGCCATCTTGTTGATTTTGTGCAGTGGACACTCAGGGCTGGAGACATAGTTTGCTGTTAAACTGAGCTACTGGGGCAGGTGTGTTCAGGCAAGATGCCAAGTTGAAGGCATGTTGCACCTCCTCCTCTTCAGCTGTGAGGGGTCAGGGCTCCTGAGCTGGCCTGGGTCTCAGAT